TTCGTTATTTGAAATTATTTGAATAATGAATAAAAATTTATTCATCATTTGCAAGTGCTTGAATGAAGAATAAAAATTTATTCGTTATTTGAAATTACTTGAATGATGAATAAAAATTTATTTTTTATTTGAATAATAATTCATTCAAAAACGCCCATCCCTGGTTCGGCTAGTGTTAGATGCCTTTTCAGGCCGTGGTGAAGTTCTTGTAGTTGTATGATCTAGTTGACTACAATATGTTCTAGTTTCTTCAGCATCTGGTTGGAGACTCCGCCCAGGTCAAATTAGAAGCCTTTGCCCTGTTGCCAGCGTTCCTTGTTTGCAGAGTTTACACTCCTTACCAATGTAATGGATTACCGAATGAAAGAGTGCGCAGAGTTGCGAGGGCTCGTTGATGAGATATTTTCAAATATAAAAATATTATCCTCAGATTTCGAGAGATGCGCCAGATACTTCAGTGTTGACTTGATTACCCCATTAGAAAGATTCCAGGACTAATGGTGCTCCTCTCACTAAAGTACTTTGTCTTTTTAGTCAGAAAATCCAACCGCTTTTCGCTTCGTATGCTGATTGATAGCTAGAGACAAGTGCAAAATCGAATGAAAGAAATATTGGTATGGAATAATGCTGGATTTCCACTAGGCATTAAATGGCAAAAATTGTAATGACAAAGTTGGGCATTAAAAAATATTCGTGTCATTATTCACAAAAAAAAAATTGTCCATATGGCATTATGCCGAATATCCATTAGGCATTGAAATTACAAAAAATGTAAGCCATTTAAAAAATGCCATGTTGAAATGAATTTAATTACCATCTTTTTAATGTAATGACGGGATTATTTTTTCAATACCCAACTTTGTCATTTGCCATTTAATACCTAGTGAAAATCCAGCCTAAGATTCGGTTCATATCTAATAATACAGGAATAATTTCATTCTGCACTTCGCAGTCATATTTCAGAAGAATTTCGTTTATTTGTAAACTTCATAATTCATATTTACCTAAATGGTGATTTCGTTTCTACCAAAATATGTCGCCTTTTGATTGCCCCGTTCTCTTTTCGTGTGCGAAACGGAACCACCATAAATTTGTGTAACCAAAAGCACACAAGACAAGTAGTAAAATTAAGAGTTCTCTATTTCATCAGAACCGCCAACCAATTCCTAAATTCCCATGTTTCTCTTTTGTAGCTTGTCGAAGACCTAATGAGACGCTTGAGGGGTATTATTCATAGCACATATATCTTACGCGATTTTATACCGCTCAATCTCTTCATGTTGGACAATCGGCATGTGAAGAACACCATTTTAATGCTGGTACAACAAGTTTACGACTTCGTCATTGACTACTACAAAGCTGTGAATATAAATGAAAATCGCGCGTAAGTGAAAGATACACCCAACAAGTGTAATAAATGGTTTCTTCTTCTAATAAGTTAAACTAAACTAACTTATAACTGCAGACTTCGAAACAAAATAAAAATCACTACTTTGTTTTATTTGTTATAGCATTTGCGATGCACTAGAGGAAATGTCCATGAAAGCTGGCGAACGACCGGAGGAGACACCAGAGGTGGTCGCTTTGCAAAACTACTTAACCGAGTGCCGTGATGAGAAAATATTTGCAATAAAGGATGAAATTAAAATAGTGTCACGACGTGTAATTTTCCTGCTAACACATACAATATTGGATAGTAAGTATAGTAGATTAGTTGTTTAGTTAAACAAAAAAGAAGTTGAGTTAATACACATATAAGTACGGGATATTTAGTTATCTATTTACATCTGAACGCAAAGTGATGGTATTTGTGAGTGCTTGGAACAAAGCAATGCAACAAAATCTAGTAGTCCCGAAATTTATCAAATCTGCGGGATTGCTCTTGATATTGATATAGAAAAGTTAAAATATCTGTACTTAGTATTAGCCAAAATAATTCAGGACCATATGCCAATTTAATTTTAAACTTAAGGTTAACCAACAGATTGATAAAATTTTATAGCATAGGTAGGCGGCAGCGTTAATGTGGATTAACGGCGTAGTTGATCTGATCAAAATTGTACCCTGATAGACGGCAGTATTGCGGAGTAAGCTAGCCGCGAGATCGGAGGTTCGACTCCTCTTATCTGAATTCCAAGTCACTTTGATTTTATGCTTGCGCAGAAAAAAAATTTAAATACACAAATTTTGCGTAAATATTAGATTAGATAGATTTTCTGCTCACGGTGCTTCGAGATTGTCACCTCTAGTGCATACAAAGTTTTCTAAATGAGCTTGCATTACTGAAGCATGCGGATGCGATGCATTAAAAAGTTTCTATACAAGTTGAACTCCTTTCCACAGAGTTGCACAAACTTTTACAAAACACATTGCCTTTCTCCTGTAATACATACATATGAATATGTATATACTTATGTACATATGTACATAAACATTGCCCCTTGGCAGTTGATAGAAAAGCAAATTGTAAAAGTTTAATTTGATTAGTGATTACAAAAAATTACAGTAAGTGGACTGAGCGTTAAGGCGTGTTTTCACTATATCAAATTCAATGTCATTTGTCGTCAAATAAGTGAAAACGCATTGTCAAATTGGATTAAAAAGCAGTATAACGATTGATTTCGATTAGGATCAGTTTTTAGTGGGAATGTGCGATTAATCGATTAAACAATTTTTTAATTAATCATAAGCCTGATTAATCAAAAAACGTGATTAATCACATTTTGATTAATCAGATTCTGAGTAATTACTGTTTACTTATAAAAAATTTAACTTTGCTCATATCTTTCGAGCTAGCATTCAAAGAAAATGAAAATGTTTTTTGTAATAAAATACTTTTCTTATTAACAAAAATAAAATGCCAAACGAGCACCTTACTATGTTGCTGATTGAAATTCAAAAATATATACACTGCCGGAACAAGGTATTGGCACAGCATATTTTTCGCAATATACGCAAAATTTTCCTTCTAATATATTTCCGCTAATTTCGTATAAAATTATGGTTCATTCTACAACAAAAAAACATAAAAATATAATTTCTAAACTTTGTGCAAAACTCGCGAAAATTCAGCAAATTTTCATGAAAATTTTCAACTTTTTAATCAGAGTGCAAGTTTTAAGTGGCTAAGAATTACCTTTGATTTTACCTTTTTTTCCACACAGTCTCTTCCATGCAAAAAATTGTTTTCGAAAATACTTTATTTGGAAAAAATGCAAAACACCTTCAACAAACAAAATTCTCAAAAATCAACGCGATTTTTGACTTAGTCCGAACTTGCATTTTTTTGCTAGAATTTTATGGGCTGTAAAACTGCATACTTCAAAAAATGTCTAAAAAATCGGATTAAAAAGCACATACTGAGCAGAAATCGTATTCCTTCGGTATCTACCTGTTATTAAACGCTTTTAAACTTTACAACCCTAGGAATCGCACCCTTTTTTCTAATTATAAATTTTATAGTTTTTAATTATAACCAAAACTGTGAGTACCATGGTCACACCCGTCACAGTGGAGTTACCCATTGCAATTATAAGTGTTTTTATGTTGTTGGCATTTACTAATACAGTCATTAGTGTGAATGCACCTTATCTACATGTAGACATACATATGTATACAATTATGGTCAACTGATTAAGTCAAGCGATATATTGCCTAGTTTTGGCTATTTTACTTTTGTTTATTTAATGTTTATATTTTTTAAAGTTCTAGCACTTTACCTAACCAGCGCCACTTTAATCCACATTTCAAACTTCGTTTACAAATTACGAATATTTAACAAACTTTAACAATTGCAACCAAAAATTTTAAACTTTTTATTCAGAATTTTTACCAAAATTTTAGGTATGCAGTACGAGTTTTTAAGAATTTTTTTGGCTGACGGTGTTGTGCATTTTCTTCCATATAAAGTATGCTCGATAATTTCGTTTGTATGGGTGAAAATGCCTGGCACCATTTGCACTTCAACCTACTAAAATTTAATGAGCTACAGTACTGCATACACATAATTTTCTTAGAAATTCTAAAAATAAATTTTAGGGTGCAATTGTTAAAGTTTGTTGAATTTTCATAGATTTTGTAAGTTTGAAATATGGATTTATGTGTCGCTAGTTAGGTAAAATGTTAAACTTTTACTAAACTGGTTAAAATGTCACTTGACTTAAACAGCTGACCACAAGTGTACATATACATATGTAGTTCTGAGAACATCCTTTTCATCGGTGTCATGAAAGAAATCATTAAATTTACTAAGATACATTTTTTTTGTATCTAATTAATTACCTTGTCAAGCAAGTTTATAAAACGAGGATATGACTGGCTGACAATTAGTGCATAGTAAGTTCATACATATAGATACATATATCACAGTCAGTTATTTATATAAAAAGATAAACTCGCCTGTGTCTACGAATATATACAGACTAGCAAACATATGTATATATGTATGTACCAAAGAACTTCTCATCTGATATTAATTTTCTCTCATGAAACTCGAAAAACCAACCACCCTTTTTTTATTCAACAGGTGATCACATTCATCTCAATTCACGCACTTTTATTTTGCCCGGCGAGTTGGAAGAGGTATTGGACTTAAGCTCAGCACGTTTGAATGTTGTACGTGAGAATTTGGAAATGGCATTGCGGTGAGTATACCCATATACATACTTATGTATGTATATCTATTTATGAACTTTTAGTTGTTGGTAAACTGTCAAACACATCTAATCAACTTCGCATAATGAGTGATAAGCGCAAGTGTGAAATTGTTTATATGCATGCAT